ATTGTTGTGTTTTCATTGTCATTTGTTTCCAGGATGCTTTTTATTTCTTCTTTGATCTCTCTGGTAACCCAGTCATTGTTTAATAGCATGCTATTTAGCCTCCAAGTGTTTGATTTTTCCCCCAATGTTTTTATTGTAGTTGATTTCTAATTTTATGTCATTGTGATCTGAGAAGATGCTTGTTATGATTTCTATCCTCTTGAATTTGAAGAGACTTTGCCTGTGTCCTAATATATGGTCTATCTTTGAAAATGTCCCATGTGCACTGGCGAAGAATGTATATTCTGTAGCTTTGGGGTGAAATTTTCTGAAGATGTCAATTAAGTCCATCTGATCTAGTGAGTCATTTAGGATTGCTGTTTCTTTGCTGCTTTTTTGTTTAGAGGATTTATCCAGTGTTGTCAGTGGGGTATTGAAGTCCCCTACTATGACTGTATTGCTATCGATCTCTCCCTTGATATCTTCCAGAAGTTGTGTTATGTATTTGGGTGCTCCTGTATTGGGTGCATATATGTTTACCAGAGTTATATCTTCTTGTTGAATTGCTCCCTTTAGTATTATGTAGTGGCCTTCCTTATCTCTTGTTATGGCCTTTACTTTGAGGTCTATTTTGTCAGATATAAGTATCACAACCCCAGCTTTTTTCTCATTTCCATTTGCCTGAAAAAAATTTTTCTATCCCTTCACTCTCAGTCTGTGTGAATCCTTTGTTCTGAGGTGGGTCTCTTGCATACAGCAAATATATGGGTCATGTTTTCTTATCCATTCAGCTACCCTGTGTCTTTTGATTGGAGCATTTAATCCATTTACATTTAATGTTATTATTGAAAAGTACTTGTTTGTGGTCATTTTTATTCTTAATGTTTGTGTTTCTTCTTGTCTTTCTGTTTCTTCTTTTTACAGCAGTCCCTTTAGCATTTCTTGCATTGCTGGTTTGTTGGTAATAAACTCTTTTAGCCCTTTTTTGTCCATGAAGCTCCTGATTCCCCCTTCAATTTTGAATGATAGCCTTGCTGGGTATAGTATTCTTGGATTCATTCCCTTGCTTTGCATCACTTTGTATATTTCATTCCATTCCCTTCTTGCCTGGTGTGTTTCTCTTGAGAAGTCAGCTGATATTCTAAAAGGAGATCCCTTGTAGGTAGCTTTCTCTCTCTCTCTGGCAGCCTTTAAGATTCTTACTTTGTAGTTGGTGTTTGCCAATTTAATTATGTTGTGTCTTGGTGTTGGTCTTTTGGGGTTCATCTTGTTTGGCACTCTATGTGCTTCTTGGTCTTGTGTAGTTTTTTTTCTTGCCAGTATCAGGGAAGTTTTCTGTCATTATTTCTTCAAACAGGTTTTCTATTCCTTGCTTCTCCTCCTCTCCTTCTGGTACCCCTATTAAGCGAATGTTGTTTCATTTTGCGTTGTCCCAAAGCTCCCTTAGACTCTCCTCTTGCTTTTTAAGTTTTTTTCCAGTTGCTCCTGTGTTTGTGTGTTTTTTCCTACCTTGTCTTCTAATTCACTGATGCGGTCTTCAGCCTCTTCTAGTATGCTGTTTAAGCCTTCCATTGTGTTCTTTATTGCAGCTATTTCGGTCTTCATTTCCTCTTAGTTCCTTTTCGTGTTGGTGACATTCTCATTCAGCTCCTTGTAATTCTCATTGAGTTGTGTGTATTTGTCATCCAGCCATTTGAGCATCCTTATAACCATTACTCTGAATTCTTTCTATGATAAGTTAGTAGCCTCAATTTCATTTAACTCCCTTTCTGGTGATTTCTCTTTTTCTTTCCTTTGTGGATTGCTTTTTTGTCTTCCCATGTTTTGCTGTAATGTTTTAATTGTAGCTCCAATTGCTTTGCTACCCAGTTTCTTTAGGGTATGGTGCTACTGGTGTGACCTCTCAGGTCTCCTAGGTTTGGTAGTCTAGTGTAGCTCCATATTTGAGCTATTTGGGTTCTCTTGATATAGGCCTGCGAGCTGGAAAGGCACAACTGAGGTATCTAGAAGTCAGCAGCTGTGGAGGGGGTGTTCCAATTTTTGCTGTCTTATGCCCTTGGTTAAAATCACGCATGCCCCGCAGGGACTCACAGTGGCACCCAGGAACCGTCTATTGGGGTGGTGGGGCTCAGGAAGCCTGCGTTCTGGCAAAGCATGACTGTGGTGTCCAGAGTTCTGTAGTTGTGGGGTGGGCAGTCTCAGCTTTTGCTGCTGCCTCCGTGGTTGGATACACGCGATCCCAGCAGCAGCTCACAAGGCACCTGTGGTGAGTTTGCCAGCAGGGTATACTGACACACTCTGAAGGGCCCTGGCACTGAAGCCACTGGATTACAGTGTCTGTGGGCAGGTATCCCAGAAGAGGGAATTCAGCGTTTCTACAGCACAGCACCCCTGTTTGTTTAAGTATGTGACCAGCAGGGCTCACAGTGGGGCCGCAGGGCTGCCTGTGGAGTGTTGGTCTTGGGAGACCTGCACACTGGAAAAGCATGCAACTGTAGTGTCCAGAGTTCTGCAGCTGTGGGGTGGGGAACCTCAGTTTTTGCTGATGCACCTGTGGTGGATAGGCGCGTGTTCCCAGTGGTGGCACACAGGAGCACCCGCAGTGAGTTTGCTAGCGCAGGTGCACTGAAGCACTCTGAAAGGCCCTGGCAAGCTTAATCAAGGCGTCTTTGGGCCGGTATCCAGGATGGGTGAATTCAGAATTTCTACTGCCCAGGGGAGTGCGTCCCTATTAGTTCAAGATCGGACACAGCAGAGGCTCACTGTGGCTTCCCAAAGTGCCCTGTGGATAGATGGGCTCAGGGGGAGTGAGCAATTGTAGCAGTGCAGTTCACCTGCGCTGAGCTCTGAGGCACTCTGAGGGGCCCTGGTGCTGAAGGGCCCTGGCGCTGAAGTTGCACAGCTGGGTGTGTGTGGGCAGTTAATCAGGCAGAGGGAATTCAGAATTTCTCCTGGGGGGCAGTGCACCTGTGTCTGTACAAAATCACACCCAGCTGAGGCTCCCAGTGACTCCTAAGAGAAGTCTATGGAGTGGTGTGCCTCGGAGACCTGTGAACTGGAGACATGCGAATGTGATGTCGGAGGTCTGCCACTGGGGAGGGGGAGGCTGCACTTACTGCTGCGGGCGGGCTTGGTGCTCCTTTGGCAGTGGAGATCCCAGGGTCTGCGAGTTGCGGGTGTGGCTGCAGGATTTTGGCTGGAGTGGCTGCCGGGTCAATGGCGGGCAGTCTCCCAGGCCTGTCTGGGTGGTGGTGCTGAGGAGTTCCTAGAAGAGGCCGCTCTCCCTGTTAAGATGGCATGGGCTCCATGCCGGAGTCCTGCAGTCCGGGGAGTGCCATAGCAGTGGTAGTCTCTCCATGTCCAAGAGAGCCTGTTCTTCCAGCCTCTGCTGCTCCTGCTGGAGTTAACTGTCCCTCACTCACTCACACACACAACAGACACATCCACTGACTCTCCTTTTATCCCCTCACTCACTCACTTCTTATCCCTCACCTCCATAATGCCAGCCGCCATCTTTTGATGCTCCAAGCCACATCAAGGTTTTTGTTACCAAACTGGCTTAGTGGGGACATTTGATCCAACCCTGCCTGTCCAGGCTCTTCCACCCTCAGCTGTGTGGCATTGGCCAGGATGACTCTCAGACCCTGCGGTAGCCCATTGCCTCACCTGGGAGGGTGGACTTAGATAAGCAACAGGAGGTGCCTTACTGAGCACTTACTACCTGCCGGCACTGCTGCAGGTGTGTGGAGAGAACCAGGACAATCCTGAGGGCACAGTTCCTTAATTGTGCCTCATTTATAGGAGATGAAGCTGTTGAGGAAACCACCCTGGTCAGCAGCTGATAAGGGAGGAGCTGGATAGAGGGAGTTAAGGGCATCCATGGGGAAGCTGGAGGCCACAGGGAACAAGCCCAGAACCCTCTGAGGAAGGTGTCTTTGTCCTCCTGGCCTGGGCTCTGCCGGGGGTCAGCCTGGGTCAGGGGACAGGATTAGGGTGAGGGTAAAGGAAATGTCATGGTACCTCCTAGTTCTCCTGAGGTACAGAAATAGCCCAGGGAGGCTCCCAGAGCCACCATGACGAGGACCCTGATCATGCTGCCAACGATGGTCCCCACAGAGTAGCCCATGTAGTTTTGTTCTGCTGAAAGGAGAAGGGAAAGGGGGAGAGGTGAAGGCCCAAGTCCATTCAGGGGAAACTAGGAGGGGCCTTGCAGGGGGAGGCCTAGTAAGGGAGGAAAGAACTGCCACCTAGTCTGTGCTGTTTGGGGGTGTCAGGACTGACACCCCACTTCTGGCGGTTGCATCATTCTCTGTTTTGCACATTTGAAACCTTCCATTTGCTGTAACTTTGCACATACTCACACCCATCGTTACCATGTCCTGGTAATTTTCCTCTTAACTCCTCTTTCCCTCACATATTCTATCTCTTACCCCTGTTACTTCTTTTCCATCACTATGGACAGTCTTAGCGACACCTTACCTGTCAACTCAGTGCTGATGAGTAACCAGAATGTGCTGAGTGTTTTTGATGATCAACAGGGTGGGGAATACTCTACCTTCATGTCATCTGATCCTTCCACCCCCAGGAGGGACGGGGGTGTCACCCCTACTGAGCAAAAACAGAATCAGGGATGGGAGGTGCTTAATAAATGGCAGGCGGTCACAGATCTGGTGAGTGATAAATGACATTTTCACCAAGCTCTGATTGACTTTACAGCTACTGACATCAGGGTTTGTAAAAATAACAATAATAATTGGTACACTGACTGAGCATGACCCTGGCTGAGGGCTTTTTTCTTATTTCCCTCACAATAAATATCCTAACAATGGTGTTTAGGTCCAGCTGTTTTATTCCAGTTTAGAGATGAGGAAACTGAGGCTCAGGTGGGTGAGAGCCTTCCCCGTGGTCAGACAGCTTATACTAATAGAACCGAGAGAATGATGAGATTAGTCTAATTCTGGGGTCCTTACCCATGTGCTCTATAGGCTCTGAAGGAGGCTCCCACCTCCTCAAGGCTTTCATCCATCTCACCCCCTTTCCCATGAAATATACAAAGGCAAGTGGGAGAGGTTGAGGGTCACTCATATTGCACATCCAGCCTGAAGAGGTCACTTTTGCTGGAACTGACGGGGTTAAAGACCTCACATTGATAACCCCCAGCGTCCTTTCTCCTGAGGGGGTCTATGGTGAGGGTGCTGTTGTCCTGGGACAGCTTCATCCTGTCGGTGATCAGGAGACTCTGGTTTTTGAAGAGCCACCGGATGGAGATCCCCCTGTCATTTGTGAGGCAGGTCAGGACCACGGCGTCCTTATGCTCTGTGACTGTGGCATTGCTGGCTCAGATGGAGGGCTTCCCCACGCGCTCTGTGGAGAAACAGAGGAGGTGACTGACTGAGAGTGGGCTCCTTCCTCAGAGATGTCAGCCACTTGCAATCCACAGCAAAGGTCACCAGAGGAGGACTCTGACCTCTGCAGGGTGAGGACCTTTGTTCAGGTGACAGTCTGTAAGGAGAGGGCTATACCCCCCTCTTCCCTCCAGATCACCTGGATATCTGAGATATTAGGTCCGGGAGCCTTAGATCTTGTGTCCAGCATCTTTATCACCAGGTGGCATTTTCCACCCATTGACTTCTGTGTGATTTCCATAGTTGTCTGTGACTTTCTAAATAATCACATCCCCTCTCTCATATGGTGGCTATACATAGAGATGGGAAGGCATTTCCGTTTTGTTAAGTAATTTATTAGAGACTATAATCCAGGCAGTCTTCATGACCTTAGGACCTGGAGAAGTTTCAATCTAAAGGATTTCTCAGTCTGAATAGGACTTTCACTTCCTGGCCTGTGGATTGAATATCAGGGAGAAGGAAGTCCCTAGAGAGAAGTAGTCAGGTTTAACACCAGGCTGGTACTCTTAGCTTGCTTTGTAAACTACACACTTTGTGGCACTGCTCCTACTGTCCCATGAATCTACATACATGTCAAGGAAGCACTACCATTCACTGTGCTTTGTAGGAATGTCACATATGGTCGTGTCGCACATTGTTGTGCAGCTGGTGACTTCAGAGTCAGGACAAAGCTCAGAGGAGTATCTCCTGTGGCTCACTCTCTCCACATACATGCAGCCTGGTCTGAGGGAGGCCATGGTGACATATTTGGCAATTTGGAGGACAGGCTACTCATGCACCTTCACCACAGACCCCTGTCCCACCACAGAGGGCACAGAGCAGTCAGTAACCGGGTGAGCCTGGAGCAGAGCAGGGAGCAGGGATTTGTCCTATTCACCCTTCCTCAGAGGGTGCTTCATCCTTTAGTTATGGGAAAAGAGATGAGCTTGTTCAAAGCCTTGTATGTTCCTTGTAGCACATAGAACAGTTAAAAGACAAGAGGTGACAGAAGGTAAGTGTTAGTGAGAGAAGAAGCAACTTTGCCTTGAAGACCCTTGTTTTCCCTTTTGGAAAACTCCCTCCCTCCACCACTTGACTCTTTCTGGGGCTGAGAGAACCCCCTCCTCACTTTCCAAGGCTGGACCCCAGCTTTGCTATGACAAATCAGAAGAGCAACGGAGGAGAGTCTACAGAGATGCAGTGGGAGGGCTCAGGGGAAGACTGTGATTTGCTTGTGTCCATGGCCACAGGATGGGAGACAACACTCTCTAGGCTCTGTTCTGAAAACCAGACAAACCTGTACCCCACAGCCTGGTGTCGATGGTCCAGGAGTCACTTACCATAGACTGTGATAGTCATGATCGTGGTCCTATTGAGGCCAGTGACAGGGTTATGGGCGAGGCAGGTATAGGATCCACTATAATTTGAAGTGATGTTGGGGATAAAGAGCTCCTGTGTGGGTTGCTGGGGCCTCTCATTGATAAGCCAAGAATACTGTGCAGGCGGGTGAGAGGCTGCCTGGCAGGAGAGGTTGAGGTTTGTCCCACGTAGGTAATGGGCGTCGAAGGGGGAAATGGTGGGGGCGTCCGGGCCATCTGGAGCAAAGAGAACACAGTCACACATGATGTAATCAGAGGGAAGGGGAAGGTCCTGGTCTGTGTAAGGGCCACACTCTCCCTCTGAAATGGGTCGCAGCCTTGTTTTAAAATGTCCCACCCATAGCCCTCTGTGTTCACTGAGCCTGAGTCATTAACCTTTTTGTCCCATGAAAGCTTGTTAACCCTGAGACTCTCCAGAGAGGAGTATCTGGTCTCCTTCAGTCTTGGCTCAAGGCTGAGCCTGGCCAGTTGTGCCTGGGACAGGAACTCATGTCCCCCCTGGGTATTCAAAGTGGGGGTCTGTGTACATGGACCCGAGAAGGACGGATGTAGCCTGGCCTCTGGCAGTGTGGATTTGGGTGGCAGCCTGGCCCAGGCAGGGACAGAAGTTACTCACAGACAACATTCAGGGTGAATGGGTCACTGCGGCCGGCACTCACGGGGTTCCGGGTTTCACACTCATAGGGTCCTGTGTCATTCCTTGTGACAGGGAGTAAAGTGAGAGTCCTGTTGTCCTTGGACAGCTGTAGCCTGGCACTGTTCGTGAGACTCTGACTGTTGATCAACCACAGGTAGGTGGTGTCCTGAATCTGAGGTTCACACGTTAACACAACAGGGTCCTTGTGCTCCTCGGGGAGGGAATTGTTGCTTGTGATGCTGGGTTTGGGTAACTCCGCTGTGCAGATAACAGAGAGAACATTACCCATTGAGTCCTCCAAAGGCTTCTTCAATCAGAATTGGTGCCTCTCAGCTAACTTGAGTTCTTCAAAAAATAAGGCAGGTCTGCGCATCGCAAGACAAACAAATGATTGAGGGTCTGAGGGTTCAGAGAATGCAAGGCCACCTCCTCTATGTCTGGGAGAAAAAGCACAGACTTTATCAGGTGACAGACAATTATCAGTGTTTGATCACAGAGAGACACAGCAGTGGGAGTCAGAGACCATATGTCCTGGCTCCTCACTGACCAGCTAACTGCCTGGCTGACCTTGGGTCTCACCTGGAAAGTGCAGGTGCTGAGTCCCCTCCAGCTACACAGACCTATATTGCCAGGTCGCCATGCGTTTCCACTGAAGCCTCATGTTCCAGGGTTGACATAGAGATGAGTAATAATGGGCCATCCCATATTCCTTAAATCCTGAGAAGACTAGGCACTGTGGCCCTGAACTGGGTATCTGAGCAGAAAAAATACACAGGAGACAAGAAGCAACTCTGGTGGTGGGTTTAGTACCCAGGCTGCAGGGCCACGAGGTGTGGCTGTCTGCCCAGGAGTTCGCTGGTGACTGACATGACACGTGACCCCAGAAAGGGTAGAGCAGAATCCAGGAATTATTTAGAAAAGAGTGAGGGAAGGCGGGAGCTGGCTGGCGGTGGCAGCAGAGCCAGGCTCTCTGTCCTTGGTCTTTAATGTTCTTTCTGCCACTGCAGAGGGCAGAGATCTTTCCTCAACATGCAGACAATAGCATGTATAGAAGGGGGGCTTGTGGAAGGTGAAGGAGCATGAACTTGTGGAAGATATGGCCCTCATAGACCATTTGTGTTTGGCAGTAATGAGATAGATTTTGAGTTAAACTGTGAAAGAATATGTGAAAATCACTCATGCCCCAAAGTTCTAATAACTGTTTTTGGAGGAAACTCTGTCTAGAGAGCATGAACAAGTTCTGCCATCCAACCAGGTCACACTGTGACCAAAGGGAGATGCCACAGTGGGTTTGGAATCAGGGACTCCCTGGGATAGAGAGAAGGTGAGTCCTGCTAAGAGTATAGAAGTGACCGGGAGGCATGTCAAGGTGTCTCTGCTGTATAAAGAGAGGGATGACTCCAGATTGGTAGAAAGGACATGTGCCATGTTAGTAAAGTTAGGGAGAAGGTCCCTCCCTGTTTCTATGGACAGTCAGGCAGATGGGGAGGAGCCCCCACACGGGCCTGTGACATATGTTCTTCCTTGTCTTTCTAACTCAGGAAACAACTGGAGTTTAGTCAAATTCATTCAAATTGGGCAGCATCTGAGAGAAAGGAGAGTGGCTGGTGGACCTCACAGTCTGAAAGGATCCCACCCTGTGGTCAAGGACACACGTGTGGAAACAGGCAGTGAACCAGTCAGATGGTGCAGGGTCCCCAGGCCCACCTTGGAAACGTCTCAGGAGCCAGTGGGAGGAATGGGAGCCTCACACCAGGACAAGGGTGTGAGTCACCAGTCAGTGGTGAAGTGAGCCCATGAGCTTTGGGGACTGAGAACTGTCCTTCTGCCTTTGACTCCCTGGTTGAATCATGTAGAGATTATATGGTTTATATGTCTCTGTCATGAGGCCTGTTCCTCTTGTTGGCCTCAGGGGAGGAAGGAGCTCTGGATGGGGGCCCAGCAGATGCTCTTTCTCCTGGTGGCCTGGAAAACTGGCTCATGATGGAGCTGGGGCTGCTGCTCCCACAGATTTTTGTGTCCTTTCCTATTGCCCGAGAGGGTGGGCCTGGACACAGGTTATAGCAGGACAATCTGCACAGTGGGGGAAGCAGAGCAGAGCCAGGCAGTGTGCCTGGAGTGAAGGAGGAGGCAGATAAGGGACATGAAAAGAGCAGATAGAGGCAGAATGTCCTTGGTGAGCAGTGGGGGTCACAGGTGGCTTCAAAGACCCCAGGGACCAAGAGCCAACAGCTTCCCCAGGGCAGGGGCAGTGCAGGCTAGAAAACCTTCCCCAGTGGAACAGCACCACAGTCACCAAGGGACTTGGCTCCTGAGGAGGCTTCAGGGACAGGTGGTCAGAGGGATGGACATGGCTCTCAGCACCTGTAGGGACAGGGGACAGGTGTGACTCTGCATCCAAGTTCCAGTCTCTCTACCAATTATGCATCATTCATTCATTCATTCATTCATTCTGTCATTATTCACCATCATTCCTTCCCTCCTTCATGATAGAGCAAGTGAGTGCTGGTCCCTGAGCTGGTAGCAGGTGCAGGTGGAGAGTGAGAAGGCAAAGTCCATTGCTTCACAGCTAGTGGGAGTGACGCCAACACATCAGGAAACAGATAAGTGGTTTCAAGTCCAGTGCAGGGAAGTGTGGATCGGTAACCTGAGGGGAAGGCCTGGGCACTCCCGGCAGTAACTCTGAATGTTATTGTAGGTAATCTGATTCTAGAGTGAAAATTAATTCTCCATTTGCTTTATCACTAGACCAGAAAATCTACCTTCAGTAGGGACTCCTAAGAAAATGGCTGGTCTCAGAGTCCACAGACACCTAAGACCCTCATGGTAGAGGAGAGGATGGGGCTGTGGCTGTGCAAGGACCTTGTTGAGCATGAAGAGCATGTGTCTGTGTGAGCCTGATTCAGTGACTGTATCACACTGTGCCTCCGTTTCCCCTGAATAAAAACAGAAGAAATGGCAAATGGACTCTGGATTACCATGTTGTCTGTGAATTGTCCTTAAAACATCCCTGAATACTTGACCTCAAGCTCAGTATAGAGGAGACACTGACTTTAATGGCCACTATCATTATTTGCCTCCATGAGGGAGAATTCCTGGCCTGACCCCTGGTGGACAAGGAACTGTCAGGAGCATCTTCTCTCCTCTGTTCCTTCCTGGAGACCTGACCTCCCTCTGGAGTCTCCTAAGTCCCTCAGAAGAGTCAGTTAATGATACGGGGTATTTTGTCTATCTGTGCTCTCCTGACACAGCCTTAGGTGAAGAATAGGCTCTGTCCCTGAAATGATGTGGCTCTTGGGGCTGAGCCCTGGCTGATGAGCAGGAGTAGAGCCACTGCTCCTACCCAGCCCTTCCAGGAGGTCAAGCCCCACCGGACATAGGCTCCCCAGGTTCCCTGGAGTCAGGAGCCCTGGGACAGGGGTCTGGGAGAGGTTCCCAGGCTGAGCTTCTCTGTGAGGATTCCAGGGTCCCCTCACCCAGGTCTCCACCAAGCTCTGCATGGTTTTCTCAGTGTCATGGTCATGAGGAGGGGACCAGGTGCTGGACTAAGACTCTGCTGAGTCTCCCTCTGCTGAGTCACTCCCATGAGACTTCTCTCTGTGTAGAATGTCTGTAGTGCTGGAACCTAGGAAGGGAATTCTGATCTTAGGAAGTTTGTTTCCACTCTGTGTTTCCTGCACTAAATGCCCAAAGCCAACCTGGGAGATGATGCAGAGGGGGATTGAGGCAGAGTTCAGGGCTGTCAGTCCTGTGTGTGAAGTAGAGTTCACCCACCTGAACCCAGAGGTCAGAGAGCAATCACTCACGGTATACACGAAGCTGTCCAGTTACTTGCATGCTCTCATAATCTTTGTCTGTGGCTAGTAGGGTATAGTATCCTGTGTCTTTCAGGGAGACTTTCTGGAACAGCAGGGATCCATTGGGGTATATTGTCTCTCTACCACTGCTTTCAGGCCCACGGGTAGTTGTTTGAGTGTCTATTACATATGATACAATTTGATGGCTGTAGTCCACCTTTCCCCCTGTGTACCAGGTATAGCTTCCAAGATTCCCAGGCAGGTTGTGGACACAGAGAAGCACATCCTTCCCTTCAACAGCATTGGGCGGCACTGATTCAATAGTGAGCTGGGCAGTGGTGGGCAGGCTCCAGAGGGTTAAGAGTGAGGCTAGGAGGGAAGAGAGAAATCGATCAAGATTTGGAGCTCTGTATTGGGAAGGGGAGATGAGCCCTGGGTCCTGAACAGGTCTCTTCATCTCTCAGCCTTGGTCTGAGTGTATGTGTGTGTGTGTGTGTGTGTGTGTGTGTGTCCATCCTGTGGTCAAGTTCAATAGCGTGGCCACCAATACTTCAGCACCCCTGCTCTTATATCCTCTGTTTTGAATACTGTTACTCAGGTGTCTGCCCTCAGATTCCTGCTGACACTCAGGAGTGTCCTTCCCTGATCACCTCCTCTAAAGACGTCTGTCTTCACTTTCTGACCTGTCCATGGGCTGTTTCCTGCAACCACTTGTGGGTACCTGACATCACATCTAGATCTTCCCTTGTCTGCCTCCTCCCATAGAACTTGAGATCATGGGGGCAGGGGCTTGACTGATCTTGCTGCACCCCATTGCCTGCAACAGGCAGTTAGTACTTATGGGTGAATGAGTGAGTATTCCTGGGTCCTGCACCTCCTGGGATGTATCTGCCCATTTCTGAGCTTAGTGGTGAGAACAATGTTTAGTGCCCCTCGTTAAATTTCCTATCTCCTCACATAACTTGGTATTATCTAAAGTTTTCAGCATTCAACACTCTGCGATGATTAACGTGGGAAATGAGCAGCCATTTTGGTTTTCTTGCCCCTCACCACTTCCACATCATTTTCCTGTTGCTGAGTCTCTTCCCCCATTCTACTCTGTTCCCCTGTCTCCTCTCCTCAAATCCAAACAGAAGCCTGCCCCCTCCCCCTTGTTTTCTCTGAGAGCTTGTGCTCCCCAGGAGTACCCAGCTAGCCTGTGCCTCTCCTCCTCCCATCCACCACCAGGTAGTTGTCCCCTCTCACCAGCCAGCAGGAGCCCCTGCCTGGGGCCAAGTCCTCTGTGGGTAGGGGCTGAGGGGGACTCCATGGTGTTTGCTGCCTGCTCTGTCCCTCCCTCTGTGGGAAGAGCTTGGATTCCAGAAATGCTCACAAACACCGCTGTCCTGGTGGGTGGGATGTGCTCTTCCTCCTCCCTGTGCACTGAGCCTCCTCCTGGGCCAAGATCACTTCCCTGGTCAC